ACGACGGCTGCAGCAGCTGCGGCGACGGCGGCTGCGGAGGCGGTGGAGGAGGAGACACCGGGGGAGGGACAGACGGCGAGGACTGCGCCGGAGGACTACCAGAGTCAGAAGACTCGTCGACCGGGACGACCGACGGGAGGGGGGTGACGTGAGACACACCAGAGGGGGCCGGACGGGGGGGCGGGGGGGGGGGAGGGGCAGGGACCACCAGGGAGGGAGGAACCAGGAAAAGGGGGGGAGTAACCGGGGGACCACGGTGGGGAAAGCGGCGGTAGAAGGAGACGGACTCGTCAAAGGTGACGTCGCGAGAGTGAAAGAAGCGGTGAGACGGCGGGTGGTAGAAGTGCCAGTCGGACGCGTCAAGGGGGAAACCGAGGAAGACGCAGGGGAGGGTGCGGGCAGTGAGCTTGTCCGTGCCAGAGGCACGAACGTGAGCAAGGCAGCCCCAGACGCGGAACGCAGACGCGTCACCAGGGGACCCGGTCCACAGAAGGGTCGGCGAAACCTGCGGCCGCTGGGGGTGCGGCCACAGGTTAAGCTGGTGAGCGGCGTAGCGCACGGCGAACGGCCACAGAAAATGGGGTGCACCGGCGTGGATCATGGAGGTGCGAGCCACCTCCATGACCAAACCGATGCGTCGCTCAGCGACCCCATTCTGCTGCGGGGAGTCCGGCAGGGTAAACGTCTGGGTGATGCCCTCTGCACGACAGAAGCGACCAAGGACACCTGAGGCAAACTCGCCACCCCGGTCGGAGTGAAGGCGCAAGGCAGGGAGACCGCGGTGGACACGAGCAGAGACAAGCCAGGGGATGAGAACGTCAGGCACGTCGGCCTTCCGCTCCAGGGGGAAGACGGTGGTGTAGCGCGTGAAGTCGTCGACAAGCACTAGGAAGAAGCGCTCGCGACGCGGCCCATGGACCGGGGCTGGGCCCCAGACGTCCATGTGCAGAGTCTGCAGTGGTGCGGTGGTAGGGGGAAAAGAGGAGGAGTGAGGGGCACGGCGGAGCCGGCCCTCGACACAAGGCGTGCACGGTGGGGCGGGGGAGGAGGGAAACTCGGGGAACGAACCGGGGAGACCAAGGACGAGACCGTGCTGGGACATGTGACGCAGACGTGGGAGTGCAGGGTGACCAAGGCGGTGGTGCCAAAGGAGAGTCGGGTGAGTGAGGGACCGACAGGAGCACGCGGCTGCAACCTGGGTGGACGCAGCTACCGGGGGGGAAGACCCAGCCGGGGACGGCGCGGTGTCAAGTGTGAACAGGCCGGACACCGGGTCCCGGGGGAAAGTGGTAAGGGGGGCACCAGTGGCGGCCTCGGTACAGATAGCATACCGCTCGTGACCAGGGAACGTAGTGGTGACGCCAAGGTCCTGGAGGCAGCCGACACCAACTAGGTTCCTGGAGAACGAGGGGATATGCAGACCTGTGAGAGTGCCCGAAGGAACCGCCGGACAGGGAAGGGAGGTGGAACTGCGGGCAACGACGGGACCACCGGAGGGGTCAGCAAGAGTAACTGCAGCGGGAACAGGCAGCGGCGTCAGCGTCGTGGAGTCGCGGAAGAAACACCGGGAGGCGCCAGAGTCCAAGGTGAAGGAAAGCGCAGCAGTCGCGCGAGGCGGCAGTGAAGCGGTGGAAGCACCAAGGCTAAGCAAAGCAGGAGATCCTACGCCTGACGCAGCAGGGGAGTCTACGCTAGGCACCGCTACACTAGGCAACACGGGGTAATAAGAGGGAAGCACACTAGAGTCATCAGCATACATCACATGCAAGGCCGCTACAATGGCATCCATGTCCAAGTCAAAAATCCTAATGCTACGCCTAAGCAAGCTGTGCCAGTCCGGGAGGTCGGGCGCCGGGCCAAAGCGCTGGCGGAACAGGTCGTCCAGGCGACGAAAACAGCGAGGAGTAGAATGACCGATCTTACCGCAAACGAAGCCGCGGCGAGGACCGGTCTGGATCTGGTACTGACAGGGCCCGCCTCCAGAACCACCACCCGGTGCACCACCACGCGCACGACCACCACCAGCTCCAGGCCACCCAGGTGGGAGAGTACTCGCCTGCCTCGTCTGCGGCGGCTGCTGCGGCTGCTGCGAAGGCTGCGGCTGCGGCGACTGTGGAGGCAGCGGGGCAGCTGGACCGGGCAGGGTCCCCACGTCCGCACCGGCACCGGACGACCCGCCTCCACCACTACCCCCACCCGCACCCCCGCCGCCTCCGCCGCTCCCAACCTTGGGGCGGCGGCCCTTCGCCGAGCGGGACTGCACTGCAGCAGCAGTCTCAGCCACAGCGACAGAGCCGTCGGAGAAGGTACACTGAGCGGGGGCACAACCCTGAAAGATAGGGACCGGTACTGTACCGCTCGCCAGGGCTATGGAGCGGTGACGAGTCTCTATGGCAGTCAGGGTGTCAACAAAGTCGGTGAGGGTGAGAGCAGCAGGGTGGATGCTAAGGAACTGGTCGCGGGCAGCGGCAAGGCGGTCAGGTAGGCGGGTGGCAAGGAGGTAGAGGGTAGAGGTCATGGGAGGCTGGTGGACTCTAAGCTGAGCATCAGTGCAGGCAGCGCGCCAGGCCTCATCTATCGAGCGCAGGTGGGCAGCGAGGTCAGAGACAGTGGGGAAGGACGCCAGGTCAGGAAAGAGCAGGGGAAGGATCAGGCGACCCACTGAGGCGGCAGGAGGGGTAGAATAGCGCTTGATGACAGCATCGAGGTAGGCCTGGGCGGTAGGAATGGTTCTAAAGCGAGGGCGCTCAGTGGGGGGGAGGGCATTGCTAATGGCGAGCTGAGCAAGGGCATCGCGGGAAAGCCAGACAGAGCGGGCAAGGGCAGCAGCGGCAGTGGACTCGCGCTCAGCGGGCGTGGGATCAGCGGGCAGCACAGCAGGGGGGTCAGGGCAGGGGAGCATACCGTCTAGGTGTGCAGAAAGCGGGTGGCCGTCCTGCCGCTGGCCAGTGAGGTGGCGGCGAAGGTCAGCCAACCACGCCTCGAACTCCAGAGGCTGACCCTCAACATCAAAACGAAGCTCAGCAGCCATGAGGGGCAGTGGAGGACAGTGCAGTGCGGTGCAGTGCGATGCAGTGCGGTGCAGTGCGGTCCAGTGCGGTGCAGTGCGATGCAGTGCGGTGCAGTGCGGTCCAGTGCGGTGCAGTGCGGTCAGTGCGATCCAGTGAGGTGCAATGCGATGCAAGGCGGGGCAGGAAAGTGCAGGAGGGTGCAAAGTGGTGCGGGGAACGGGGGACAGTATCAGGAAGTATGGAGGGCCGGGGCAGGTGCGTCGGGGCCGGGCAGGCACGACAAGGCCGGGCGGCGGCGACGGGGCCGGGCGGCGGCGACGGGGCCGGGCGGCAGCGACAAGGCCGGGCGGCTGCGACGTGGCCGGGCGGCTGCGACGGGGCCGGGCGGCTGCGACGGGGCCGGGCGGCAGGGACGAGGCCGGGCCGGACACAGCAGGGCCGGGCAGGGGCGACGGGGCCGGGCGGCTGCGACGTGGCCGGGCGGCTGCGACGTGGCCGGGCGGCTGCGACGGGGCCGGGCGGCTGCGACGGGGCCGGGCGGCGGCGACGGGGCCGGGCGGCAGGGACGGGGCCCGGGCAGGCCACAGCAGGGCCGGGCAGGGGCGACGGGGTCGGGCGGGCGAGCAGGGGCCGGGCAGGTGCGACAGGGGCCGGGCAGCCGCGACAGGGGCAGGGCGGGCGCCACGCGGCCGATAGGCCGCGACGGGGCCGAGCAGGGGCGACGGGGATGGGTAGGGGCGCGACGGGGCCTGGAGGGGCGTTACCAAGCCCAGGTAGGGGCGCGACGGGGCCTGGGGGGAGCGCAATGGGGCCCAGGAGGGGCGCTACGGGGCCTGGGAGGAGCGCGACTGGGCTAGGGAGGGGCGCGACGGGGCCTGGAAGGAGCGCAATGGGGCCCAGGAGGGGCGCTACGGGGCCTGGGAGGAGCGCGACGGGGCCCTGGAGGGGCGCTACCAGGCCCTGGAAGGGGCGCGACGGGGCCTGGAGGGGCGCTACGAAGCCCTGAAAGGGGCGCGACGGGGCCTGGAGGGGCGCTACGAAGCCCTGGAAGGGGCGCGACGGGGCCTGGGAGGAGCGCAATGGGGCCCAGGAGGGGCGCTACGAGGCCTGGGAGGAGCGCGACGGGGCCCAGAAAGGGGCGCAACGGGGCCCAGGAAGGGGCGCGACGGGGCTAGGGAGGGTCGCGACGGGGCTAGGGAGGGTCGCGACGGGGCTAGGAGCACGACGGGGCCCAGCTAGGGGGCGAGCGGAAGCGTGAGGGGGGGGGGGGGGATCCTACCTACGCGTGATACCATATCAAACAGTGAAATTGATGAATAGAGAGAGAGAGTACACAAACATATACCTAACTGTTGTACTCTCTAGAAGATGACCCTATACAGTCTATACAAGCATGATAACTAAACATGTTTGACAGCTAGGACTAGGCCTAAGGCGGAAGCGCGGGTGGGCGGGGGGGGGGACCTAACATAGCGTGATACCATATCAGAATGAGAAAGTATGACTAGACTGATGCAAACATGTTGGTTTTGTTTAGGGAGTTGTACCCTCTAAGAATACACACCTATATCGACTATAAAGCATATACAAATATGTTTGACACAAGGGTCGAAGTCTGCAAGGGTCCCCAAAGTCCTTGCTGTTGCGCAGACTCATGAGCCTCCTCGAACAGTATCGCGTTTCTACTGGAGAATATTTATTTTGGTTATGAACTCGGCACCCTAAGCTTGACCTTAGTCCTTATTCATATCGTAGCCCTGGGATTGTGCTTACTTGAGTTTTATTATTTTGCTTGTATGGCATGTGATAGCAATGATGACACTAAAAATACTCTTTAAATGATGCTTTGCCTCTTATTGAGTTGAGACTATACAATACGCAACGATATCATGCGTTTCTTTCTCCTTCCAAGCTTTCCAGGGCTGATAACAAACGGGTCAATTAAAGGCGGGTTGGATTTTTCAAGAGATCATCCTGCGCGGGAAGTAGTTGGGTGAGTGTGTACTGCTCGAGCACTAGTACGGTTCGACACATTATTGGGGCTCTTCGGTACGCCACAGAGCGGTGCTGCGCAGAACTTCTGCGGCAGAAGGTGAAAAAAAACTGGTCAAAACTACAGTGTTTTCCTGGACGGCAGTATAGGAGATAGGCCGTTCTGACAACGGAGTCAAGAGTGAGAGTTCGGCCATGGAAACCCCACGCCGCATTTGGCGGCGGCTGAACGCTGACCGTTGATCCTCTGCCTTCGAGTCCGTTGATCAGCGTTCGCCTGACGGCGTGACTGGCGATCAACAGACGGCTTGACTGGCGATCAACAGACGGCTGATCGGCGATCGATCGACGGCTGACCGTATCATTGTCTGCTAACCTTCTGGAGGACTCACTGACGATCGACTCACTGACGATCGAATCACTGACGATCGACTGACTGACGATCGACTCACTGACGATCGACTCACTGACGATCGACTGACTGACGATCGACTCACTGACGATCGACTGGCTGTCCGGCGATTGCCAATCTACCTTCTCGTATTCTTCTTCCGCCAAGCGTTCTCCAAACGCTCGTTTTCCTCAGCCTGATCTTCCGCTAGTTGTTTTTCCCCGCCTGCTCACTCCTATCCAGCAATGAGTTAAAGCCCAGATCCGGGCTTTAAGCTGGTTTGTTAGAACTCTCCAGTAGTTGTTTCCCCCGCCTGCTCCCTGTAGACTATCCAGCAGTGGCCTCTTTCTTACCCCCAGCCGCGTTTCTCTTGTTAGTTCCCTCCAGCAATCGTTTCACCCGCCTGCTCACTCCTAGTAGTAGTACTATATCCAGCAATGGCCGCCTCCTTACCTCGTCTTCTCCAGCTCCCCGCTCTCCTCCTCCTCTCATTGCCAAGACTCCTGCTGCTGCTGCTCCTGCTGCCGCCCTTTTCAATGCTCCCCTCGTCAATGCTCCCCGCCCGCGCGCTCCCCGCTTTCCGCTGCACCGCTCACTCGATCCGGGGGGCCCACCACGTGCACGCGGGTACGCCCATTTCGAGCGAGCGTCGCAACAGACTGCGAACATCGCGAACGCTCGCGGAAGGGACGGCCGAGCCGTTTGCTGTCGGGGAAAGAGGCGAAGAAAGAGCATCTTTGAGGCTCAAAGATGAGTCCCCGGACGAGGCGACGAACGGGAGCCTCCAAATGAGTCCTCGGCTGCTTGACGACGGGCTGGCTGAGCCGCCAGCCGCTGAGGGAAGAGGCGAGGAACGAGCATCTTTGAGGCGCCTAGAAATAAGTAGCTTGCGAGCTCTCGAGGAAGGGCCGGCCGATACGTTTGCCACTGGGGAAAGAGGCGAGGAGGGAGGAGGTCGCCGCCGCGAGCTGCTGCCTCAGCCTCAGTCAGCCGAGCCTCAGTCAGCCGAGCCTCAGTCGGCCGAGCCTCAGTCGGCCGAGCCTCAGTCGCCCAAGGCGTTTGGCTCACGCATGCATCTCCACGAAGCAGTGAGGCCGAGTTCGGAGGTGGCTGGGAAGGCAGCAGCGCCTCAACAAGCTCGCCGCGTGCTGCTGCTGCCGCAATCACCTGAGCAGTTCGGCTCGGGCATGCAGCTGCATGAAGCCCTGGCGCCGCTGTGGGAGATGGCCGCCCGCGTTGCTGTCAACGGGACGGTTCTTGTCGTGGTGTTCAACGCGGGTAAGGTGTAGGGAACGGATCGTTTACCGGGACTGCTGCTAACGGGACTGCTGTTAACGGGACTGCTGTTAACGGGACTGCTGTTAACGGGACTGCTCTTGTCATGGTGTCCAATCCAACGCTGGCAAGGTGTAGGGAAGGGATCGGATTGTTTACCTGGGTGAATGTCAACGGGACGGTTCTTGTCGTGGTGTCCAATGATGGGAAGGCCGGCACGCCTGCATCCTTCCATCGCTGCCCTGCCAGTGGCGCTCTTCCCCTCCCCCCTCCTTCCCCCTCCTTCCCCCTCCTTCCCCCTCCTTCCCCCTCCTTCCCCCTCCTTCCCCCCTCCTTCCCCCTCCTTCCCCCTCCTTCCCCCCTCCTTCCCCCTCCTTCCCCCCTCCTTCCCCTTCCTTCCCCCTCCTTCCCCCTCCTTCCCCCCTCCTTCCCCCCTCCTTCCCCCCTCCTTCCCCCTCCTTCCCCCCTCCTTCCCCCCTCCTTCCCCCCTCCTTCCCCCCTCCTTTCCTTGTCTATTTCTCTCTCCATACGTCCTTCCTTTAGCCTCGGTTATTATGAGTCATGACCTGCCAAGGGGTATGCGTCACCACCCTATCCCTCCCACCCTTCTGCACCGCATTCGACCTTCGCTTCAACCCCGTTCTTCCCTTCTCCTCTTAGTCCCAGCCGGGGCTACACGCACATGCTCCACGCCCCATCACCCTGTCCAATCACCCTGTACCGCACCGCACCATTCCTTCCCCGCCTCCCCACCTCCTCCTCCCCTCCTCCCCTCCTCCCCCCCGGCTCCCCTTGCTCCGGCTACACGGACATGCTGGACAACTGGGTGCATGTTGCCCCTGCTCATCACCCTACTCAACGCCTCTACACCGCACCACACCCCATCCCACTCCCCTACCCCAGGCTACACGGACATGCTGGACAACTGGGCGCGCCACGTCAGCAATGTGGGGCTGGGAGCAAATTTCATTCTGTTTGCCGAGGACGAGGAGAGCCTCAGATTCGGCCAGGCCAGATGGCCGGGGCAGGTGAGACATTGTTGCCGACGGCAGGTGAGCCCTTCATGTAGGGGCATGCAACAAGGGCTTGCCGGAAGCAGGCTAGATGGCCGCAGCAGGTGAGCCCTCCCCTTGTTGCACGGGCGACCGCCAGGTTTGATCAGGCCAGGTAGCTGGGGCAGGTAAGCCAACAGACCATAAATCTGGGCCTTCTGGACCAATCAGTGTCCGCCGCCTGGCAGCCTTCTCTTCCGAATTCCAACTCTTCAAGACCGCTAGGTTTGATCAGTGCCTGCCAAGTCACACTTTCCACCTCGCGCAGGCACAACCTCCGCGTGCCGCATACTCTACCTCCTGCACCTCCTCTCCTCTGGCTGTAACGTCCTCTATTCCGCCCCTCTCCCACTATTTTCTTATTCCACTATTCCCCTTCGTTCTCCCCCTCCCCGACAGACCATACACCTGGACCTTCCAGACCAATCCGTGACCGCCAGCTGGCAGTCTTTCCAAGCTACCAATCCCCAGGCACAAACCTCCAACTCGCACTCATCAGCTCGAGCAGGCACTCCCGCCTTCCACCTCCTGGCAGCGCGCCGCATACTCTACCTCTTGCACCTCCTCTCCTTTGGCTTTAACGTCCTCTATTCCGACACCGACGTTGCGATCCTGCGTAACCCGTTACCAGAAGTTTCCGACCCGAAACAGGTGTTTGACGCGTACGTGACACTCGACGGGTACGAGCGAAACTGGCAGAAAAAAACGGTAATGATCGAGGGCTATGGCGTGAAAAACATAGCTGACCAGAAACTTTCCGTTTCGACGTCGTTTATTTTTTTCCGCCCGACTTCTGGGGCTAAGTGTCTTGTTGGGGACTGGTCAAACCGAGTGATGGAGTTAGGGCGGGACCAAGGGACGGATCAGGAACACTTAAACTCGCTTATAGTTGAAATGGACGCGTTTAAGATCCTCCCCAGGATAGCTGTGCTGCCCGCGCAGAAATTTCTGGCCGGGCAGCTGCTGGTGGAGGACGATTGGGCAGCGGTGGAAGTTTTGAAGAGTGAGCTGGTGACGGTGCATGCAGGAGGGCTCATGGGGAGGGACGCCAAGAGGCAAGCTTTGAAGAAGTTAGGGTTTTGGATTGTCGGAGGAGGGACGGGTGGGTTGGATGCGGATTTTGGCGAATCGGGAGCAGCAGGAGGAGAACCAGCAGCACCAGCAGCAGACGCAGCAGCAGCAGCAGCAACAGCATCAGGAGGAGGAAAGCCGCTGGGAGGTGGGTTGGACGGAATACCAGAGGTGGGAATGGAGTCTGAGCCCGTTACTTTGCTGAATGCTGACAGCACATGGCCCAGCACCAGCGAAACCAGCAGCATCAGCAGCAGCAGAACCACCAGCAGCAGTTCCTTTGGGGGCGACAAGGGCCCGTTCTGCGTGGGGCTGCTGTGCCCCGAGATGCATCTGTCGCAGGAGGAGGTGGTTCTGCTGTCCGTGCAGCCCTGGGTGCAGCGCCACTTGGAGAAGATCGATGCACTCGTGCCGGAAGTCGCATCGACGAGCCGATTCGTGATTGTCACCGTGGCGTGCCCAGGTATGTGCTGCTAGGGAAGGTGGTTGTGGTCCTGTGCTCAGCTCAGTGTGCTGTCCGTTCTGCGTGGGGCTGCTGTCTCCCGAGATGCATTTGTCGCAGGAGGAAGTGGTTCTGCTGTCCGTGCAGCCCTGGGTGCAATGCTACCTGCACCAGATCGACTCTCTTGTGCCTGTCATTGCCTCCACAAGTCGGTTTGTGATTGTCACTGTGGCGTGCCAAGGTATGTGCTACTCTCTGGACGGTGGTGCGTACTATGTGTGTGGGGCTGCTGTGTCCTGAGATGCATGTGTTGCAGGCTTAGGTGGTTCTGCTGTCCGTGCAGCCCTCATTCCCACCCCACTGTTACTTCCGTCCCAATCCCGTGCCCATCCTCCTTCCGACCACCAGGCCAGGGCCGTCTGTTCACCAACTGGTTCAACAACATGCACTCTGCTGCCAGTATACGCTCTAACCTCATTCCTACCTCACCCCACTGTTACTTCTGTCCCAATCCCGTGCCCATCCTCCTTCTAACCACCAGGCCAGGGCCGGTTGTTCGCCAACTGGTTCAACAACATGCACTCTGCTGCCATGGCGGAAAACGTGATCGCCTCAGTGGCCCCAGAGGTACGCGATTGCCCACCACACCACACCACACCACACCCCACCTCACCGCGGCTGTACCACTCGTTGTCACCACAGTGAGCTGACGGCACAACACCTCTATTCAACGCCATGCACTCTGTTGCCATGGCGGAACACGCGGTCACCTCAGTGGTCCCACCCCACCCCAGAGGTACGTATGTCAGTGCCAGCGAGTGCGGTGGAGATTCCAGGGAAAGCCGTGTGCAGCGAGAGAGTATGCAGTCTTCAGATTCCCTCAAGGGAGTGTAGAGCAACGCTCAGTGCGCCATGCACTCAGTGCGCCATGCACTCAGTGCGCCATGCACTCAGTGCGCCATGCACTCTACCACCGTGGCTGAATACGTGATCGCCTCAGTGGCCCCAAGGTCTGCATGTTCGTGGAGGTGAAGATCCGAGGATTTTTGGAATGAAATGAATATTTTCTAAAGTGGCAGCAGAGAACAGGTTACAGCAGCCAGCCAGAGGTACTAATGCAGAGTACAGGTTAAAGCATTTTGATCATTTTCTGAAACGAGGGTGTTGCACAGTCCATGCTTTTACACACGTTGCTGCTGTGTGCGTGGCTGAAGCAGCAAGACAAGTAGGCTATCCCTCCCTCCCTCCCTCCCTCCCTCCCTCCCTCCCTCCCTCCCTCCCTCCCTCCCTGCCTGCCTTACTGACCCTGCAGGTAGAGAGCATGGGCCTAAATATTCTGCAGCAGCCAGAGGGGAGTGAGTCGCCCCACAAAGCTGCTCTCACATGCCTGCTGCTGCCCTCTCTGCTCATGGAAAAGGTCTTGAAGCTCAACTACAGTGTCATTTACAGGTACTATGATAACTTGTCATGTTATTAACAGATATTGTATGCATTGAAAGCTACTCTCTCTGCTCATGGAGAAAGTCTTGAAGCTCAACTACAGTGTCATTTACAGGAACAGTAACTTAAAAAAGAAATAACCTAATAAAACCCTCCCTTCCTGCTCATGGAGTAAGTGCTAGAGCTCAACTACAATGTCATTTACAGGTACTACGATAACTTGTCATGTTATTAACAGATATTGTATGCATTTAAAGCTACTCTCTCTGCTCATGGAGAAAGTCTTGAAGCTCAACTACAGTGTCATTTACAGGAACAGTAACTTAAAGAAGAAATAACCTAATAAAACCCTCCCTTCCTGCTCATGGAGTAAGTGCTAGAGCTCAACTACAAAAAGAGCCCTCAAACCCATGTACAGTGTGGCTCGGTAAAGACAATGTTAACAGGCTTTCACAATGTTATCACAGTGACATAAACTCGGTGTGGCCCCAAGACCTGCTCCCTTTCCTGGCTCGACTCTTTTTTCATCCTCATTCCCCCCCCCCCCTCCCCGCCCCCCTTCCTCCACCCTTCTTCCCCCTCTCTCCGACCATCGCATCGCAGTGACATAAGCTCTGTGTGGCTCCAAGATCCGCTCCCATTCCTCCCTCCAGAATTCAACGCCGCTCTCCCCTCCTCCGTCCCCTCCTCCACTCAACCACCTCCCTCGAACAACAAGCTGGACAGCAAACTCAAGCGCACCACCCCTCTCTCTCGCTCCGACCTGGGCTATTTCTCCCCTTGGTTTGTAGCCCTTCGCCCCTCCCACCCAATTTTCCTGATGCTAAGAGAATGGGCAATTCTTACCCTGGAGGATTATCGGGAAAAAGCAGCGGCTGCTCATAAAGCCTCCCTTCCGCTATCTCTCTCCGCTTCAGAGAGTATAAAAGTTGGGTTGAATGAGGCTATAACGAGGATGGTTGAGGGTGGGGAGCCTGGGTCGAATGTTGGCGTGTTGTCGCGGTTTTTGTTCCCTCCTGTTTGGAAGGTTATGGGAGAGAGGGAGTGGTTTGCAAGGCACAGGGAGGAGGTTGTTGCAGTGCCGAATGATTGTGGGGAAGACGTGAGTCATAGGGAGATGTGCTTCAAGGATTTGAAATTATGGGTGTAGCTTGAAGCTTGTACCTTCGATGCACGCTAACACATATTGTACTATATATTTTACAATTAGACAATAATCGGACCCACACAGCCCTAGATTGCGCTTGTGCTTTTCTTGTATGTAGAGTTACAATAACCTCTCCTTGTGGTTCTAACAATCCTAAGAGTGACGGGCTACGGAACCTGCCGACCTCCTTGTCGCACCCGATTGTTGTCGGTGGAATTCAGGGAGGCGAGGCGAGAACCGCCTTGAAATTGCCGAATGAGCAGAGACCTCAAACCAGCCTGGGACATACCACCTCTCCACCCCACTCCAGACCACTCCACTCTACTTAACCTCACTTCACGCCACTCCACTCCACTCCCACGTTTCCTCGCTCCCGCTCTTCCTAGCGTTTGTAGTTCTGCTGCACTGCATGTGCCAAGGGAGAAAGTGAGGCTTTGACTGGAGTCAGTTAGTATCAGCCGAACTTCAGCTCTAGCCTGGACTCTAGACTCACGTCCCGTCAGGAATCTCATCTCTGGCTTCGGAAAACCTCGGAAGTCGTTGTGGTTTCGAGTATTCTGCAGGTTCACTTTGCTCTGGCTTGTAGGGAGGAAAACCACTAGTAACGTGAACGTGCGAAAGCGACGCATTGCGACACATGCAAGAAGCATTCACTCCTAGTCGGGTCCGCCTTGACCGTTCAAGCCGGAAATTCGACGAAGTCGCGATTCAACGAAGGACCCTCTTTTGACCTCGCGAGATATTTTTTCGAATTCTGATTCAACGAAGGACCCTCATTTGACCTCCATTAGGCGTCTCTTTCTCTCCATGGAGACCCTCCGCCTCTCCCTCTCGCACCTGCTGCTGGCATTGCTGGCGAGCAGCCATGTCTGCTCGCTCGTTTCGTCGCAAACGCTCGACCCGTCTCAAGGTGAGACATCCGAGTCGTCCCAAGGTGAGAACCTCCACCAGTCTTCTCATTTCCTCTCCATGACGACCCTCCGCTTCGCCCTCTCGCACCTCCTGCTGGCACTCCTGGCGAGCAGCCGTGTCTGCTCGCACGTTTCGTCGCAAGTGCTCCATCCGTCGCAAGGTGCGACGTCCAAGTGGTCTCAATCTCGATTACCGTGTGTGTACTGCTGTCGTCCAGCCATGTGTCTGCTCGCTCGTGTCGTCGCAAGTGGTCCATCCGTCGCAAGGTGCGAAACTCAAACGTCTTGTGTACCTTGTGCTCGGTCTGACTTGGGTCAAGGTGACTTTTGAGCCGACTCAAAAGTCACTGCGACAGCCAGTCTGACGACTTGTGTACCTTGTGCTCAGTCTGACTTTGGTCAAGGTGACTTTTGAGCCGACTCAAAGTTACTGCGACAGCCAGTCAGACGACTTGTGTACCTTGTGCTCAGTCTGACTTTGGTCAAGGTGACTTTTGAGCAGACTCAAAGTCACTGCGAAGTCAGACGTCTTGTGTACCTTGTGCTCTGTCTGACTTTGGTCGCGCTCAAGCTCGGCTGTACTGCGCTGCTTTCTTCCAGCCATGTGCGGCACCTCATTGCATCGCAAACGCACAATCCGTCAGTTTGATGTTTTCAATGGGAAAGTGATCCCCCCCCCCCCCCTCCCCCCCTCTCCCTCCCCTCTCCCCTCTCCTCCCTGCCCCCCCCTTTCCCACTCCTTCTTGGTCCCCCACAAGAGCCTACATCAGCCCTCTCCCCACTGGTGTTCACCATCCCATTTAAAACATCTCCCCCTCCTCCCCCTCCCTCCCCTCCCCCCTCCCCCCTTTCCCTCTGCCCCGTCCCTTCCCCCCGTTGTCACATCACTCTTCCCATGGGCACGCCCCTCTGCAGAGCCTGTGCTGTGCTGGCCGGATGGGTTCTGCTTGGAGGGCGGTCAGATTCAATGCATGCATTATCTCCTCTGGACGAAACATTATCCTTCCGCATGCGTCCCCCCTCCTCCTCTCTCCCCATGGGCACGCCCCGCTGCAGAGCCTGTGCTGGCCGGATGGGGTCTGCTGGAGGGCGCTCAGAATGTATCATGTGACGCCATCTATGGCATACAATGCGACGCTCAAGGCATGGTCACTGCCATGTGAGTCCGTCCGACCACCTGTGGGCGACATATAGCTCAGATAACTCGTCTTTCAATAACTATATGATAGTTCAGATCAGATCAGACCCACTCATGCAATGCCTGCCAGCTATGCGATCCTGTGTGATGCCCAACCTATTCCCATCTGAGGTAAGTTGGTTCTTGAGAATCCCAAAAACCATCTCAACCCACTCGTGCAATGCCTGCTGGCTGGCTATGCGATCCAATGTGATGCCCAGCCCAACCTATTCCCATCTTCCATCCATCCCAACCGCCTTCCCCTTCCAACCCCTTTCTGCAACCCTTGAGAATAACACATATCTCCGTGTGAAAGAAGGGAAAATAACCTTCCCATTCCGCTCTCACGCCCGTCTTTCGCATTTCCCCATCCCATTCCTCCCATTCCTCCCATTCCTCCCATTCCTCCCATTCCTCGCATTCCTCCCATTCCTCCCATTCCTCCCATTCCTCCCATTCCTCCCATTCCTCCCATTCCTCCCATTCCTCCCATTCCTCCCATTCCTCCCATTCCTCCCATTCCTCCCATTCCTCCCATTCCTCCCATTCCTCCCATTCCTCCCATTCCTCCCATTCCTCCATTCCTCCCATTCCTCCCATTCCTCCCATTCCTCCCATTCCTCCCATTCCTCCCATTCCTCCCATTCCTCCCATTCCTCCCATTCCTCCCATTCCTCCCATTCCTCCCATTCCTCCCATTCCTCCCATTCCTCCCATTCCTCCCATTCCTCCCATTCCTCGCATTCCTCCCATTCCTCCCATTCCTCCCATTCCTCCCATTCCTCCCATTCCTCCCATTCCTCGCATTCCTCCCATTCCTCCCATTCCTCCCATTCCTCCATTCCTCCCATTCCTCGCATTCCTCCCATTCCTCCCATTCCTCCCATTCCTCCCATTCCTCCCATTCCTCGCATTCCTCCCATTCCTCCCATTCCTCCCATTCCTCCCATTCCTCCCATTCCTCGCATTCCTCCCATTCCTCCCATTCCTCCCATTCCTCCCATTCCTCCCATTCCTCCCATTCCTCCCATTCCTCCCATTCCTCCCATTCCTCCCATTCCTCGCATTCCTCCCATTCCTCCCATTCCTCCCATTCCTCCCATTCCTCCCATTCCTCCCATTCCTCCCATTCCTCCCATTCCTCCCATTCCTCCCATTCCTCCCATTCCTCCCATTCCTCCCATTCCTCCCATTCCTCGCATTCCTCCCATTCCTCCCATTCCTCCCATTCCTCCCATTCCTCCCATTCCTCGCATTCCTCCCATTCCTCCCATTCCTCCCATTCCTCCCATTCCTCCCATTCCTCCCATTCCTCCCATTCCTCCCATTCCTCCCATTCCTCCCATTCCTCCCATTCCTCGCATTCCTCCCATTCCTCCCATTCCTCCCATTCCTCCCATTCCTCCCATTCCTCGCATTCCTCCCATTCCTCCCATTCCTCCCATTCCTCCCATTCCTCCCATTCCTCGCATTCCTCCCATTCCTCCCATTCCTCCATTCCTCCCATTCCTCCCATTCTCCATTCCTCCCATTCCTCCCCATTCCTCCCATTCCTCCCATTCCTCCCATTCCTCCATTCCTCCCATTCCTCGCATTCCTCCCATTCCTCCCATTCCTCCCATTCCTCCCATTCCTCCCATTCCTCGCATTCCTCCCATTCCTCCCATTCCTCCCATTCCTCCCATTCCTCCCATTCCTCGCATTCCTCCATTCCTCCCATTCCTCCCATTCCTCCCATTCCTCCCATTCCTCCATTCCTCCCCATTCCTCCCATTCCTCCCATTCCTCCCATTCCTCCCATTCCTCCATTCCTCCCATTCCTCCCATTCCTCCCATTCCTCCCATTCCTCCCATTCCTCCATTCCTCCCATTCCTCCCATTCCTCCCATTCCTCCATTCCTCCCATTCCTCGCATTCCTCCCATTCCTCCCATTCCTCCCATTCCTCCCATTCCTCCCATTCCTCGCATTCCTCCCATTCCTCCATTCCTCCCATTCCTCCCATTCCTCCCATTCCTCCCATTCCTCCCATTCCTCCATTCCTCCCATTCCTCCCATTCCTCCCATTCCTCCCATTCCTCCCATTCCCATTCCTCCCATTCCTCCCATTCCTCCCATTCCTCCATTCCTCCCATTCCTCCCATTCCTCCATTCCTCCCATTCCTCCCATTCCTCCCATTCCTCCCATTCCTCCATTCCTCCCATTCCTCCCATTCCTCCCATTCCTCCCATTCCTCCCATTCCTCCATTCCTCCCATTCCTCCCATTCCTCCCATTCCTCCCATTCCTCCCATTCCTCCCATTCCTCCCATTCCTCGCATTCCTCCCATTCCTCCCATTCCTCCCATTCCTCCCATTCCTCCCATTCCTCGCATTCCTCCCATTCCTCCCATTCCTCCCATTCCTCCCATTCCTCCCATTCCTCGCATTCCTCCCATTCCTCCCATTCCTCCCATTCCTCCCATTCCTCCCATTCCTCGCATTCCTCCCATTCCTCCCATTCCTCCCATTCCTCCCATTCCTCCCATTCCTCGCATTCCTCCCATTCCTCCCATTCCTCCCATTCCTCCCATTCCTCCCATTCCTCGCATTCCTCCCATTCCTCCCATTCCTCCCATTCCTCCCATTCCTCCCATTCCTCGCATTCCTCCCATTCCTCCCATTCCTCCCATTCCTCCCATTCCTCCCATTCCTCGCATTCCTCCCATTCCTCCCATTCCTCCCATTCCTCCCATTCCTCCCATTCCTCGCATTCCTCCCATTCCTCCCATTCCTCCCCTCCCATTCCTCCCATTCCTCGCATTCCTCCCATTCCTCCCATTCCTCCCATTCCTCCCATTCCTCCCATTCCTCGCATTCCTCCCATTCCTCCCATTCCTCCCATTCCTCCCATTCCTCCCATTCCTCCATTCCTCCCATTCCTCCCATTCCTCCCATTCCTCCCATTCCTCCCATTCCTCGCATTCCTCCCATTCCTCCCATTCCTCCCATTCCTCCCATTCCTCCCATTCCTCGCATTCCTCCCATTCCTCCCATTCCTCCCATTCCTCCCATTCCTCCCATTCCTCCCATTCCTCCCATTCCTCCCATTCCTCGCATTCCTCCCATTCCTCCCATTCCTCCCATTCCTCCCATTCCTCCCATTCCTCCCATTCCTCGCATTCCTCCCATTCCTCGCATTCCTCGCATTCCTCGCATTCCTCCCATTCCTCGCATTCCTCCCATTCCTCGCATTCCTCGCTGGTTGGAGACTCAGAGAGCTGCCAGAGCGGGAGCTCAAGGGACCCATTCCCGACAGCATCAGCGCCCTCTCGAAGCTCTCAATCCTGTGAGTGAGCACCGAGCACGTTCAGCCTCCCTCAAGCGGTCCGTGTATTAATGGTCAAGCAGGGTACAGCAAAGCACGTTCAGCCTCCCTCCCTCTCGACTGACGGTACTTCGCCTCTTTCTCTTCTGTGCTAAAAATACTCCTATTTCTGATAGCACCAGCACCCTTTCCAAACTCTCCTGCTTTGAGGAGCCTCAAAACTCGCTTCTATGTTTGACCACCTCAGAAATCGTTTCATATTAAGTCTCTCCTGTTTCTGACAGCACCAGCGCCCTTTCCGAGCTCTCAGCTCTTCATGATCACAGTGAGCTCGAAATTCCAGTGAGTGGCGACACTAGCATGCACGCACGCCCCCACCCAATCTCCCATTTCAACATGCCCAATATGCTTTCTTGCAGTGAGGAACACGAGTCTATACTTGTGTATTCCTTGTTATTTAGTTAAACGGGACTATTCCGACTGACCCAACTCAGCTTGCATCGCTGATCAAACAAGTTTTGAGACGCCTCAATTTTATTTCCCCCATGTTTCCCCCGTTATGCCTTGGCAGGGACCTGAGCTGAGTGCCAACCATTTGGGCGGGTCAAAAGATTGAAGTTGATTTGACGAATGCCCCTGCTGGCCTTTGCTTCCCTTTGCTTCGTGGCGCCTGGCAGGGATTTACGTGCCCACTGCCCACCACTTCCTGGCGCTTGGCAGGGATTTACAGGGATTTATAGAAATTTACAGGGATTTACAGGGATTTACGTGCCCACTGCCCACCACTTCATGGGTAAAAAGGTTGAGGTTGCTTCAATGGAAGTCCCTCTTACCTCTGCTTCCCTTTACCTCCCTTTGCTTCCCTGCACCTGGCAGGGATCTGAGTGCCAAGCCAACCACTGGACGAGTAAAACAATGGAGGCTGGTTTGATAGAAGTGCCTCTTACCCTCTACTTCCCTCTACTTCCCTCTACTTCCCTTGACCTCCCTTTGCTTCCCGGCACCTGGCAGGGATCTGAGTGCCAATCAGTTCAACGGGACAATCCCGACTACTCTGGCTCAGCTCGCATTACTGATTAAGATGTGGGCCCTGCATCCAGCAAAGATGATGGCATGGCTCCCCTACAGTTATCTGTGTTGTTTTTCCCCTGCTCCTCTATTCTTTCTGCCACATTGTCCGACCAAAGCACGTTTTGAATCAGCTAAAAACGAACTCGCCCTGGTCTTTGCTATACTACTCTGAGAGTCTGTTGTGCATTGCCCCGTTCTGCCACCGCTCTCCTAGAGTAGAGGAGAGTCTGTTGTATCCTGGAAGGAACCTGGATAAGCTCAAGATTCGCCTCTTTTCTCCCACTTTTCTCCCCTCTGTCATGGTACCCATCCACGTGTGATTTGGCTGGCCGGCTGTCTGTTCCACCTCCTGCAGTGACCTGAATACCAACAACCTGGGGGGATCTCTACCAGACACTCTAACGGCTCTCTCTGCGCTCACTCACCTGTGAGAACCGCGCCCTTACGGCCTGCTAGGTTATCGTGCAGTGCATATCTCAGGGCTTGTCACAGCAGCACACCCCCCTCTCTCCTCCCTCCCTCAGCTCCCTTTGTCACACCCATGCCATCGAAACGGCCCTCTCTCTCTCTCAACACGCATCGGTGCGTTGCTTCGATACACTAGAAGCAAGTTTTCCTTTAGTTTGCAGGGTATTTTCGAGAATTCTTAAAAAAGACCCTGTAAAAACGGCTCTCTCTCTCCCAGCATGCATTGGTGTGTTCCTTGGTGACCTTTGAGTCGACTCAAAAGTCACCTTGTTCCTTAAACACACCTCTCATCGCACCAGAAGCAAGTTTTCCTCATCGCGCACCCCTCTATCTTCCCACAGCTCCCTGTGGAACAACCATCTGATCTGAACGGCTCTCTCCCATCAAACATAGGCGCTCGACGTGCCTTCCCCCCATATTCTCCCTCCTCCCCAAGCGGTCCTTGTATTAATGGGCAAGCAAGGTACATCCAGGCAGGAATCCCCCCTTTCTCTCTCCCCCTTTTCCTCCCACAGCTCGCTGTGGAACAACCATCTGAATGGCTCTCTCCCATCATACATTGGCGTTCTATCATCACTCCAATACCTGTAAGCTCGCTCGCTTCGTGTCTCCAACTTTTTCTCTCCTTGCTTCTCACGTAGCCTCTTGTGCTGATCTCGTGTGCACCTGATTGTGAAATTCACCCGCGAAACTACCAAACATGTATTGACATCCCACCTTGCCCTCTTTTGAGGCGCCTAAAAAATTGTATTGATTGACATCCCACCTTGCCCTCTCTACTAATACCTGGCTCTATTCCCGAGGCTATTGCCTCCCGTTCACCCCATCCACGTCATCTACTTACATCCCATGTGCTTCGGCCAATACCCCACTGACACACCCCGCCCACTGGGTGGGACGTCAGTGAGAATAACGCGGGCGGCGGCTCCATCCATCACCTTCCCACACATCCGTTCCCCAAGCCATTGCTTCCCCTCCAGCCACGCCATCTGCTTTACGCATTTGCTTTTTGGCCAAGCTCCAACCGATCCCATTCCCACATAATCCCCCCCCCGGCCCGCCCACAGGGACATCAGTGAGAATAGCATGGATGGCTCCATTCCCGAGGCGATTGCCTCACTCACCAAACTATCCTTCTTGTGAGTTCAACCTTCCCCACTTTCCCCCTCGTTGCTATTGCTGTCACCCCAACACTCATCAACGCCCCCCCCCCCCACCACACCAACGCCCAACAATGCTCACCTCTTCCCCCTCTCCGTGTGTAATGAGTCTAATTTTGAGTCGACTAAAAAATAGACGCGTCAGCCCAACACTCATCAATGCTCCCCCCCCCCACCACACCAACGCTCAACACTGCTCACCTCTTCCCCCTCTCCTCCCGTCACCCTTGCTCCCCCCCTCGTTGTCTGTCCGTCCTGCTTCCATCAGATGACTCCGTTATCTTCCCTCAGACCCTTTCACTCCCTGCTCTCCCTTCACCCCCTCCCGAGAGATTTTTTAAAATTCTCAATAATCTCTCGCAAGGACCTGCAGCCTGCTTCCTCTCCGTTATCTTCCCTCAGACCTTTTAGTCCCTGCTCTCCCTGCTCTCCCTTCCCCCCCTGCCCCCCGAACACCCCTCCCATTCCCCTTTTCTCCTCTCTTTCTTCCCCCTTCTCTCCCCTCACAGAGCAGCATGGGGTAATCTCCTCTCAGGCTCTCTGCCCTCTGTCATTGGACAACTGTCAAACCTACAATCACTGTGAGACCACTGTAGCACCACTGTTGTAGTATACTGTAAGTCGAAATGTGGTGCCGATGTTGCAGTGCGTTATACTTGCTGTAGCACCTCCACTGATGTTGTGTGTGTCCTACACATTGCACTGTAGTAGCAGGTTGTAGCGGCCTGCTGTGACGAAGAGACGTGCCTCGTCACAGCTGTGCTTATTCACCTATGTAGCATCCCACCGCTGCCTTGTCGCCGCCGGTGCCTTCCAGCTGTGTTCCCCTCTGATTCGTTTCAGAGTGCTTCTTGTTTTGTGCGCCAGCTGTCGTACAAGTTGTTGAGTGCAGTGCATTGCTTGATCGATCGGAAACTCTACAAGCAATTGGATCTCAAGGGTGGTTTTGCATTGCATGGCATGGCATGGCATCACATGGCATCACATGGCATGGCACGGCATGGCATCACATGGCATCACATGGCATGGCACGGCATGGCACGGCATTGCATGGCATGGCATGGCATGGCATGGCATGGCATGGCACGGCATGGCATGGCATGGCACGGCATGGCATGGCATGGCATGGCACGGCATGGCATGGCATGGCATGGCATGGCACGGCATCACATGGCATGGCATGACATGGCAGGGATGTGAATGCAAACGAGCTTTCAGGGCAACTACCAGACTCCTTGGGTCACCTTACTAGACTCTCGGAATTGTACGTCCAGCTGTGCTCTCATGCTGTCATGCTATTATTATTATAATTCTAAGGTGCGTACTTGCTGGTAATTGCCGCGTACATTCATACTGTCAAGTCCTCAGGTGTATTTTCTGCAGTGCCTATCCGCTCACGCATGCACACGTGCATGCAAACACGCACACACACATACACACACACACATGCACACACGCACGCACGCACGCAAGCGCGCGCGCGCGCGCACACACACACACACACACACACACACATACACACACACACATGCACGCACGCGCGCGCACACGCGCACACACACGCACACGCACATGCACACATGCATGCGCACGCGCACGCATACATGCGCTCGCGCACGCATACATGCGCTCAGGCCCCCGTTACACAACCAGTTCAACAGCTCCCTACCTTCACCTGCTTTTGACACGCCTCAAGAGCTCTATCCCTCCCTCCTCCATGGGCACATGCATGCACACACACACGTGTGCTGTTGACTTGCGTACACACGTAACGGCTTCCTTCCACAGTTGGAAGCCTCGGCAACCTCCTTTTGAGTTGTCACAAAGGCAAATCCTCATGTGTGTTTATCCCTCCATGCCCACATGCCCTCAGGCTACTGTATCAGAACCAGTTCACTGGCTCTCTACCTTCCACCATTGGAACCCTCACCAACCTCACCAAGCTGTAAGTGGGTGGGGGACGTGGTTTACACATGCCCCTGTTTCGTGCCTGCTGTTTCTAAGGCGCCTCAAAGAAAGGATATCTACCATCTAAAAGGAGTCCTCAGCAATCGCCCACTGCTTTTGGGGCGCCTCAAAGCTGTTTCTAAAGCGCCTCAAAGCAAGGATATATACCATCTAAAAGGAGACCTCAGCAATCGCACAAAGCTCTAAGAGAGAGAACTGGTGTGTCCTCCGCTATCTCTTTCCCATCTTTAGGCCCTTTAGCGCAAGAATTACTGCCATCTCGCTTTCCCCTGGTCCCCCCCCACCCCCGCCTTTTCCTATGCATCACCTTTCATGTTTGTAGGTGATTTCTATCGAATTCTATAGAAATTACTCCATGCCCCTTTGTCGTATGCATCACCCTCCTTTGGCTTTTGCATGCTTCATTCACTTTTGAGTCAACTCAAAGCTTTGTCGTATGCATCACCCTCCTTCGGCTTTTGCATGCATCATTCACTCTCCACTGTCCCGTGTCCCAGAGGTCTTAACACCAACAACCTTTCTTTGCGCATAACCAATATCTTAGCACCAAATGGCGCACTTCCCGGCTCGTTAGGCATTTTGCTCCTTTTTAACAACCTATCTCATCTGTCCCTCCTTCAATCCCCATTCTCTTCCTCTCTTCCCAGGGATCTCAACACCAACAACCTCACTGGGGCACTACCAGATTCACTAGGCAGTCTGCTGGCTCTTAAATACCTGTGAGGAAATAACCATAGTTACTACGTGAGGTGAGATTTGAGGCGCCTAAGAAATCCTTCCGGGGTAGTTTGCATGCTGGCTCTAAACTACCAGTGAGGCCTTCCTCAGTGTCCATTCCACGTGTGTGACAACTTCTGCTTGCAGGGTGATTTTTGAGTCGACTCAAAAGGTGATTTTTGAGTGATTTTTGAGTCGACTCAAAAGGTGATTTTTGAGTGATTTTTTAGTCGACTCAAAAGGTGATTTTTGAGTGATTTTTTAGTCGACTCAAAAATCACTTGCAGGGTGTTATTGAGAATTCTCAAAACTACCTGTTTGTTTGTTTTGTGAATCCTATCCTATCCCCCTCGCTCTCAGCGGTTTCGTCCCTGCTGTTTTTCTTCAACATCCGAGGGGTTCCCATCCCATTTCCTCCCCACCTCCCTGCCTGCCTGCCTGCACACAGGGATGTCAGCATGAACAGGCTTGCAGAATCCCTTCCATCCGCATTGGGCTTGCTTTCAGCCCTCGTTTCCCTGTGAGCCTCTTCAAGCCCCTGGCCTTGCTTGCGAGAGAGTTTTCAGAATTCTAAAAAATTATCAATGGACCTCCCATTTCTTCCCTACATTCGCAGTGATGTGTTATGAGCCTATTTTTAGGTCGAATCCAAAAATATACTCATAACACACGTAAGCCCCTTCAAGCCCCTGGCTGGCCTCATGATCAATGAGCCTCCGATTTCTTCCCTACATTCGCTCGCAGCAATGCCAGCATGAACAGGCTTGCTTGCAGGATCCCTTCGATGTGAGAGATTTTTTAGAAATTTCCAAAATAAAAAGTAAAGAAATCTCAAACACCTTTCGAGAATTCTCAACAGGCTTGCTTGCAGGATCCCTTGCATCCGCATGGGTCTTGCTTTCACCCCTCGTTTCCCTGTGAGCCGCGATCACCCCTCCTCTCGAATGCTCCTTTCTATTTGACAGCAACGAGTGCACACCTCTCTTCTCTCTCCTCGTCGCTCCTGTTTGTGTCTTTTGGGTCGACTCAAAAGTCTCTCGAGCGTTCCTTTCTATTAGATAGAGCAACGAGTACACACTACCTCTATTCTCTCCTCTCGTCGCACCTGTTTGTTCCTTCCCCTCCCTCCCCTCTTCGCCCTCCTTGCTTGTCAAGCTCGTTTACTACCACTACATCCCTCCCCTCTACCCCAACGTCCTCTTCCCTTCCTACTAAGCCATCTCTCCCATGTCTCCCTCCCAACTCGTCCCTTTCCTACATTGGTGACATCCCTTGTAGTACCGATGACATCCTTCTCTCTGAACCATTTGTTGCCTGTTCTCTTTTCCCTCCCCCATCTCTCCCTCCCATCGCATCCCTCTCCTACCACAGTGACATCTTAAAAAAAACAACCCTCTCTTGGAATTATTTGCCCTTCTCGTTCCCCTCTCCCACGCCCTCCTCTTCCTCCCCTCTCGTAACCCACAGTGACGTCAGCAGCAACGCTCTCTCTGGATCCCTGCCTCCAGCGCTTGGTGCACTGACCGACCTCTCCACGCTGTCAGTCCCTTGTACCACAGTACCACCCCTTTTCGCCATCTCTAGTGACTTTTGAGTTGACTCAAAAGTCACCCCGTCCTTGGCGCAGTGGCTGACCTCTCCGCTCTGTCAGACCCATGTACCACCCTTTTCGTCATCTTTAGTTGCTTCGCCGGTGTACTTTTAGGTGCCTCAAAAATAGACTCCCGTCCTTGGCGCACTTACCAACCTCCCCACTCTGTCAGTCCCATGTACCACCGTGTACCACCGTACCACCCCTTTTTGCCATCTCTAGACTTGACTTTTGAGTCAACTCAAAAGTCACCCCGTCCTTGTCGCACTCCTGTGTCTTCTCAACGTGAATCAAATCTGACATGTCATTCTTGCTCTCCCCCCTCTCCCCCCTCTCCCCCCTCTCCCCCCTCTCCCCTCCTCCCCCCCCCCTCCCCCCCCCCTTCCCCCCCCCCCCCCCTCCCTTTCCCCCCCCTTCGTTTTATCCCCCCAGAGCCATCACCAGCACCAGCCTCACCTGCCCTGTCTCCTCCTCCTCATCCCCTGCTTCCTGTGTGGTCAAGCAATCCGTCCTCTCTGCCTTCTGCCGCCGCTGCTCCTCCTTCTGCTCCTCGTGCTCCGGTGAAACGGGTAAGTTGAGGGAGCAGTGACCGTGACCCATCACCCAATCCAGATTGCTTCCTGTGTGGTCAAGCATCCAGTTCCTAATAGACTCGGCTTTCATTTTTGAGAATTCTAAATGATGACTCCACGGCGGTGACCATGACATGACGGCCCATCACCCGAACGTGCTTGCTTCCTGTGTGGTCAAGCAGCCAGTTCCCACTAGAGCCCGCTTTCTTCGTTCCTTTTTTAGGCACCTCGAAGGTCCAAAGGTCCACCCACTACATGCCTATTTCTGACTCGACTCAACACTCTCCCTACTCTCTTTCTCTCCCCCCCTGAACTTTGCTGCAGACGGCCCTTGCAGCCCATCCCAGCCCAACCCGTGTGGCACAGGCCTCTGCATTCCCCTCAACGGCTCCACCTCAGCTCCAGCCCCTTCCATGTCAGCCGCTGCGTCTGCCAACGTGGCAGCTGACCTGGCCTTCACATCCGCAATCATTGCAGCGCCATCAGCAGCAGCACCAGCATCAGAAGAAGCGGCTGTGGACGCCCCTCCTCTGTACAACTGCAGCTGCCCGTGGAATGCCGTGCTGGGGGAGAGCAGTGATGGGTCCCCCACCTGCGTTCCCTTCTGTGAGTATGCTGTACATGGCTTAGTGTAGGCACCTAGGCACTGTCAGCAGCACCAACAGCACCACCAGCACCAACACAAGCACTAGCAGCAGCACCAGCGCCAGCCCCAGCCCCAGCACCAGCCCCAGCCCCAGCACCAGCCCCAGCACCGGCCCCAGAACCAGCCCCAGCACCAGCCCCAGCCCCAGCCCCAGCCCCAGCCCCAGCCCCAGCCCCAGCCCCAGCCCCAGCCCCAGCCCCAGCCCCAGCCCAGCCCCAGCCCCAGCCCCAGCCCCAGCCCCAGCCCCAGCCCCAGCCCCAGCCCCAGCCCCAGCCCCAGCCCCCAGCCCCAGCCCCAGCCCCAGCCCCAGCCCCAGCCCCAGCCCCAGCCCCAGCCCCAGCCCCAGCCCCAGCCCCAGCCCCAGCCCCAGCCCCAGCCCCAGCCCCAGCCCCAGCCCCAGCCCCAGCCCCAGCCCCAGCCCAGCCCCAGCCCCAGCCCCAGCCCCAGCCCCAGCCCCAGCCCCAGCCCCAGCCCCAGCCCCAGCCCCAGCCCCAGCCCCAGCCCCAGCACCAGCACCAGCCCCAGCCCCAGCCCCAGCACCAGCACCAGAAGAAGCGGCTGTGGGCGCCCCTCTTCTGTACAACTGCAGCTGCCCCTGGAATGCCGTGCTGGGGGCGAGCAGCAATGAACCTCCCACATGTGTTCCCTTCTGTGAGTGGCCCGTCAGCTGTTGCACATGCCTTGTGTTGTTTGCTGGCTGTTAGGCACTGTCAGCGCCACGGGTGGACGCCCCTCCACTTCCGTTCCTTTCCGAAAGTCGCCCTTTTAGTACAACTAGCACCACGCCACAAGTGCCCATGGTTCAACCTTTCCTCATTGCACTATGGCACTTTCCTCGTTGCATCTTCCCTCATCTGGAAGGGAGGGGGTGGGAGGAAAGATTGCCATTGGTCAATCAATCCTCGCTGTGTCTTTCTCTCCCCCCCCAGTACCATCTTCCCCCCCACCACCTCCTTTCGCTCCTGCCACTGCAGTATCCAACTACTGCCCTGCCTGCCACACCCCTACTGGCATCAACAAGTGCAGCGAGGGTTAATGCATTACCACGGAGGACACTCCTTCCCCATTGCTTACATCCCCCCCTCTTTGCGCCCCTCCCCCCTTCAACCATGCCCCTCACTCGTGCCCCTCGTCGCATTATCCAAGGAACCCTGCTACACCCCTACTGGCATCAACCGGTGCGGAGAGGGCCAGTGCATAACCAGAGATGACGCAGCAGATAGTTCCTAAACCTGCTCTTGTGCATATCCCCGCTTCCGCTCTCGCCCCCTCCCCCCCTCCCCCTTCCCCCCCCCCCCCCCCCCCCCCCCCCCCCCCTCCACTCGCCTCCCCCCCCATTGCAGTGTCCGATGACCCCTGTCACACCCCTACCAGCATCAACCCATGCGGCAAGGGCCAGTGCTTTACAACCAGACCAAAGGCATCTCTTCCTCACTGCTTACCACCCTTCATTCCCCCTCCCTCCCCCTACTGCAGTGTCCGACGACCCCTGTCATGCCCCTACTGGCGTCAACCCGTGCGGCGAGGGCCAGTGCTCTACCACCGAGAACTCAGCCGAGGGCACTTACACCTGCTCCTGCCCTGCTGGGTCGTTTCCGACGCTGGCTGCTTCTGGCATGCCGACCTGCGTTAGGGGTGAGTCGAGTTGAGGGCTCGTGTGGGGCAGGGGGCTCGTCGGGTTGTACGGCCACCTGGGCAGGGTATCACAGTGGATGCAGCAGAGGGCTCGTACCACTGCTCCTGCCCTGCTGGGTCTGCCCCCTCGACGCTGGCTGCTTCTGGCATGCCGACCTGCGTTAGGGGTGAGTTGAGTTGAGGGCTTGTGTGGGCCAGAGGGCTCGTGTGGGCCAGAGGGCTTGTATTGGCAGTGAGCAGAGAGAGTGTACGGCCACCCAGGCAACACAGAGGATGCAGCAGAGGGCTTTTGGGAGTGTACGGCCACCCAGGCAACGCAGAGGACGCAGCAGTGGGCTCCTACAACAACTGCTCCTGCCCTGCCGGGTCTTTTCCGATGCTGGCTGCTTCTGGCATGCCGACCTGTGTTACGGGTGAGTTGAGTTGAGGGCTCGTGTGGGGCAGAGGGCTCGTGTGGGGAAGAGGGCGTGTGAGTAGAGGGAGTGTACAGCCACCCTGGCAACAACGTGGATGCAGCAGAGGGCTCGTACAACTGCTCTTGCCCTGCTGGCTCGGCCGTCTCTCCTTTGCAGGTGATCCCTGTTTCTCTAACCCCTGCGGTGTCGGTTAGTGCACCCACAACAGCACTGCGACTGATGCCACTGTCTTGTGTTCTCCCTCCTCCTCCCCTCTCCCTTCTCCCATCTCCATCTCTCCTTAGCAGGTGATCTATGTTCCCCTAGCCCCTGCTGCGTTGGCCAGTGCACCTATACCACCACCACTGCTGCGGTTACCGCTTGCTTCTTACCCTTTACCCCTCCACCCATCCTACCCTCCCTTCTTCCCTCTTCACCTCCCTTTGCAGGTGATCCCTGCTCCCCTAATCCCTGTGGCGCCGGTCAATGCACCCTCAACACCACCGCTGCGGTCACTGTGAGGGCTACTATAGCTGCTGCTACTGCTGCTACAACTGCTACAACTGCTGAAACTAATGCTGCTGCAACCACTGGTGCTGCTGCAGCTCCTACTCTCGCTCCGGCCAGTGCCCCTTCCCTCTCCCTGCCATCTCCCTCCTACTCCTGCTCCTGCCCTTCTGGCTCCTCTCCCTCCACTCTCCCGACTGGCCTCCCAACCTGCACTACTACAGGTACATTTTTAAACTTCTTTCCTCTATGCTCTTCTCCCTCCCTGTTGAAAACCTCCCTCCATTTTCTTCTCTCCGTGCCATCGCTCTCTCTTGCTCCCGTACTTGTATCTACACTCGCGCTCACTCCTTTTGTTATGACTCTCCTCCCTCCATTGCGGTTTTCAGCTGGTAATGAGACAGCTGGTAATGCGACAGCTGGTAATGCGACAGCTGGTAATGGGACTTCGTCTACATCACGTCCCAAGGGTGCAAGTGCCGGTGTACCCTTTACCAGCGTCTTTGGATTGTTCCTCATGGTTATTGGAGGTAGTTTTGCAATCTTGCTATAGGTTCTAGTTAACCCTGTGGCGTATCACGCAAGCCAGTCTCCCTTCATATGATTGAGAGTAGAATTCGGGCCGTATATGAAGTTTATGTGGAGCTTGGGGATTGCTACATGATACTTTCGTAAGGGAGCAATTAATGAACTGTTTTATACGACCCACTTCTTTCCCTGAAATGCCTCACCTCGTACTGAGTAGATCGAATCTCGTGGCACGTACAATTAATCTCGACCGGTATATGTTTCCGGTTACTGCACTCAGTTACAGCACTGTGACAGAAAATTGCAGCATCGAATTTAATGCGTACCTGACGTCAAATTTCAACGTCTATTTATGAGCCGACCAATGATGGTGAGCGATGCGGAATGTGACGTCATCGGCTGAACGACAGCTGGTCTGAAGAGGGACTTAGAGAGACCGGACCGAATCTCTGTAGCTTAGGAACAAGCCCTCAAAATCGAAGACTGTTTACTCGTTATTGGTTACCCCGCTGACGGCCTGTCGGAGAATGAGCACTCGTTATACAGTGCGGATAATAGGTGGCCTTACAATACCTTCTGGCCTTACAAAGTTCTCAGCGTCTGCGGCTCCTGAACACGAGGCGTGACCTCTGTACAGGGGCAGCCGGCGGGCACAGAAGGCTATGCTGTCTCAAACTGCATTTTCAAACTTCTTTCGATGTAGTCCGGACACCCGCTTTGTAGGGCGTGAACTTCCTTAGCGAACACTCAGTGACAGTGACAGGCATACTCCGCGGTAGAAATCTAACTGCATTTGTTCTTTCCATGGAGTCTGGCACGTCCTAGCTGTCATAGGGCGTGATTCGTGAACTTCCGTAGCTATCACTCGGTGACAGGCGTACTGCGCGCTAGAAATCAAACACGATGAAATCTCGACTCCGCGCAGCCGCGTACCAGCAGCGCGTGCGGCGCACCGCTGCTGATTCTTCCTAGCATTTACCTTAGAAGGACTCCCTCGCTAGAGTAGATCCCCTGATGGAGTCTCGACTCCGCGCAGCCGCCTATCAGCAGCGCGTGCGGCGCGCCATCGGCTGCGTTCTCCTCGTTTCCCTCCTCTCGCTGCTCCTCCTCGCGTCACTCGCCGCGAAAAGCGGCGCCGTCAGCGGCGGCGCGCGCGGTTGGATCCTACACTGGCTCCAGATCCCCTGCGCTTCGAGCCCGTCCCAAAGCGCCTCGGAGCGCCTCTCTAGTAGTCACGCCGCGTCGGGAGACGTCGAATCACATGGATTAGGTGACAGAGGAGGAGGAGGTTTGAGCGAGCGCCACGTGTACGATGGTGGTGGGTACGGAGGAGGGCGGCAGTGCGAGCGAGTGACTAAAGTGGGGATATGCGTCTCGGATTTCTTCGCCCTCATTGATGACGTGTACCGGTACGTTGATGACGTGTACCGGTACGTTGATGACGTGTACCGGTACGTGCAACAATTCATTTTCCAACACTCATTACCGCTTCCCTTCGCTTCCCCCAACCCCCCCCCCCCCCTCCGCCACTGTCTCAGCCCCCTCTGGCCTGGTATAGTTGACCTCGTGACTCGCAGCTACCAACCACTCTGAGAAGATCGTCCTCCCTCCCCCTCCTTCTGCCCCCCCACCCACCACCCCTCCTCCCCGCCGCCGCCCCCCCTCTCTCCTTTCAGCCCCCTGTGGCCCAGTCAAGTGGACCTCGTGATTCGCAGCTACCTCTCTGAAAAGCTCTTCCTTCTTCACTCTGTGCTGTCGACATCTCGTCCTCCCCCCCCCCCCCTTCCCACCAAACCCCCTCCCCCTTCCCGCCGCCCCATCCCCCCCCCCTTCCCAACACTCTCAGCCCCCTGTGGCCCGGTAAAGTGGACCTCGTGATTCGCAGCTACCTCTCTGCGAAGCCCTTCCTTCCTGCTCTGCTCTCTGCTGTCAGCTCCCACCCCCCCTGCTTCCCTTTCGTTTCGTACCTTCCACGACCTCCCTCTCCCCTTCCCCCCCTCTCCCCTTTCCCCCACGCCTCTGTCTCAGCCCCGTGTGGCCCGGTAAAGTGGACCTCGTGATCCGCAGCTACCTCTCTGAGAAGCTCTTCCTGCGCTACTCTCGTTGCTGGTTCAGCTTCCCTTCCCCCGTCGCCTTCTTTTCCTTCCGCCCTTCCCCCCCCTCCCCTCCCTCCCGTATATCCTCAGCCCCCTGTGGCCCGGGAAAGTGGACCTCGTGATTCGCAGCTACCTCTCTGACAATCTCTTCCTGCTTCACTCCCTGCTGACATCATCTCGTCCTCTCCCCACTGACCCCTACCCAGTTCTTCAGCCCCCTGTGGCCCGGTAAAGTCGACCTTGTGATTTCCACTTACCTCTCCGAAAAGCTCTTCCCCTCTCCCCTGCCCTCCCGGTGTCACCACCACTCCCCCTCCCCTCCCCTCCCCTCCCCTCCCCCCTCCCCACCTCCTCAGCCCCCTGTGGCCCGGTAAAGTGGACCTCGTGATTCGCAGCTACCTCTCTGAAAAACTCTTCCTGCTCTACTCTCTGCTGACGTCAGTGGAGCTGATGTGGCCGCGCGGGATTGGCCGGATCGTGCTGGTGCTGGATGAGGGTGATGACGTGGCTATGCACCTCGTGCCGCCCTGGGTGCAGGTGAGTAGCAAAGAATCCGATGCCGCAGCACGTGATATTCGTTAGTTACTCACCTAGCAGTGTAGTCTATTTTGGATGCACATCAAAAGTGGGTGCAGGTGAACGTACTTCGCCTATAGCAGATTTCATGGCAACGCACTTGAATTGGAAGCAGCAGTGCAGACAACAAACCCCTCACCTTGACGCCATTCAACCCCCTCACCTTGTTTGGATGTAGGCCTGGTTACCAGTCTCTTCTGCGTTTTCCGCCTCACAGATTCATAATCAGAAGCTCCATTAAATAGAAAAAGAAAAGGAAAATTCACCCCAAAATGCATGCTAAATCCCCTTTTTTTCCTTTCACAGGTGAAATACGAGCGCAACTACCTGAAGCTTCCTGGGAAGATTCTCCAGCAGTGGAGCTACGGGTGGGCGGACAACTACACGTCGGCGCCCTTCGTCGCCATCGCCGACGATGACATCATCTTCAACCTCAAGGTGACGTCATCCCATTCCTCCTCCTCAACCTCTCATCCTCCTCCCAAGGTAGCCCCGCTCAACCCTCCCCCCGCCCTATCTGATCAGTGGCGTCGCATGGACCGGGGCTGCCACCGCCTCTCCACTGACTTCCCCCACGTCTCGGCTCACTCGGACAAGACCAGGGCTGCCGCCGCCCCTACCATGTGGGCGGCATGGCATGGACCAGGGCTGCTGCCGCCCCTCCTTTGACTTGCCCCCCTTGCCTCCCTCCCTCCTCTTCCCTGGCTTCCCTCCTCCAGGTCACCCCATTCCTGCTCTTCAACCTCTCAGCACCAGCCCACGGCAGCCCAGCTACCCCTAGTTCCGCCCTCCCCTATCTGATCGGCAGCAGCGACCACGGCTACCACCGCCCCTCCACTCCACTGACTTCTCCCCACGCCTTGTGATAAGACTCTTATCCTCCCCTTCTCGCATTGGTGCTGCTGATGCTGCCGCTGGTGGTGCTTTCTGCTCCTTGTTGTAAGATGTCTTACTTTCTCTGCCCCCCCCTCCCCTCCCCTTGCTCCCTCCCCCAGGTCATCCCGTTCCTCCTCTTCATCCTCTCTGCACCATCCCAAGGGAACCCTGCCTCCCCAAGTTCCGCCCGCCCCAAGTTCCGCCCGCCCCAAGTTCCGCCCGCCCCAAGTTCCGCCCTCCCCTAGTTCCGCCCGCCCCTAGTTCCGCCCGCCCCTAGTTCCGCCCGCCCCTACCTGATTGGCAACGAAGACCAGGGCTACCACCGGCCCTCCACTGACTTCCTCCTGGGCCGCCACGCCTCCGCTGCCAACTTCATGGTGCAGCTGCCGCTGGGGGCAGTGCTGCTGGTGCTGGGGGTGGTACTGCTGGTGCTGCTGCTGGCGGTGCTGCTCCTTGTTGTAAGATATCTCATCTCTGCCCCCCCTCCTCTCCCCCTGCTTCGTACTCCAGGTGACCCCATTCCTCCTCTTAAACCTCTCCCAGGGCAACTCAGCCCGCCCCTACCTGATCGGAAGCAAGGACCAGGGCTACCACCGCCCCTCCACTGACTTCCTCCTCGGCCGCCGCGCCTACGCGGCCAACTTCATGGTGCAGCTGCCGTTCGTCATCCCCAGGGGGGAGATCAAAGGGTACAGAGACGCAGTGGCTGCTGCACATCCCAAGATACAAGGGGGATATGACGGAGCAGTGCAGCAGTGGGTTGAGAAAGGAGGGCAGTACAGGTGAGACTGGGGATGAGGCCTGTGCATACACTGGGGTGCAGTGGTGGGTGGAAAACGGTGGAAAATACAGGTGAGACTGAGGGAATGAGATCCTGCGCCTACGCGGCCAACTCCATGGGAGGCATGTATGTACCTCCATGGGAGGTATGTATGTACCTCCATGGGAGGTATGTATGTGCCTCCATGGGAGGTATGTATGTACCTCCATGGGAGGTATGTATGTACCTCCATGGGAGGTATGTATGTACCTCCATGGGAGGTATGTATGTACCTCCATGGGAGGTATGTATGTACCTCCATGGGAGGTATGTGTGTACCTTCATGGGAGGTATGTATGTACCTCCATGGGAGGTATGTGTGTACCTCCATGGGAGGTATGCATGTACCTCCATGGGAGGTATGTATGTACCTCCATGGAAGGTATGCATGTACCTCCATGGGAGGTATGTATGTACCTCCATGGGAGGTATGCATGTACCTCCATGGGAGGTATGTATGTACCTCCATGGGAGGTATGCATGTACCTCCATGGGAGGTATGTATGTACCTCCATGGGAGGTATGCATGTACCTCCATGGGAGGTATGTATGTACCTCCCATGATGAGATCTACATTCATGGGAGGTACCTCCCATGATGAGATCTACATTCATGGGATCTCATCGGGTGCCAATGGATGTAGAGGGATAAGGAAGGACAACAGCTGCCTTGCCAACGTCGTGCTGCAGCTGCTGTTCGGAATCCCCCGAGGGTGCAGAGAGGCCATGGCTGCTGCGCACTCAAAGGATGGTCCTCACCTCACGCAGTGAGATGCATGTGATAGAACTCACCTTGTGCATGTGATGCATGTGATAAAACTCACCTTATGCATGTGATGCATGTGATAAAACTCACCTTATGCATGTGATGCATGTGATAAAACTCACCTTATGCATGTGATGCATGTGATAAAACTCACCTCATGCATGTGATGCATGTGATAAAACTCACCTCATGCATGTGATGCATGTGATAAAACTCACCTCATGCATGTGATGCATGCTAGTTCTGCTGAGACGACTCAAAGTTTAGACTTGAGACGTCTCAAATTTTCGTTTTGAGACGTCGAAAAACTCGAGTCGACTCAAAACGTCTCTAAAATTTCTCAGCCGCCACCATATGTCACTTAAGCACCATGTTATAACGTGTGTCTGTGTGCTGCGATGCTGCGTGCAGGGACCAGATCGCCCACACGGTCATGGGGAATTATCTTTGGCACAACGCAAAGGACAAGGTGAGACTGTCGCATGTAGGCAGCTCCTCCTAGGGAGCCTGCTAATGAACGCCCATAAAGCCCCTCATTGCAGTTTGCCTGCACAGCTGTGGGCAACTGCCTTTGACGCAATGGAAAGGATAAGGTGAGACAAAATCAGATTTGGGTACTCTCAGATCAAGCTTGCTGTGGAGTGGAGTGGGTAACATGTGGAATGGGTAACATGTGGAGTGGGTAACATGTGGAATGGGTAACATGTGGAATGGGTAACATGTGGAATGGGTAACATGTGGAATGGGTAACATGTGGATTGGGCAACATGTGGATTGGGCAACATGTGGATTGGGCTACATGTGGATTGGGCAACATGTGGATTGGGCAACATGTGGTTTGGGCAACATGTGGATTGGGCAACATATGGATTGGGCAACATGTGGATTGGGCAACATGTGGATTGGGCAACATGTGGAATGGGTAACATGTGGATTGGGCAACATGTGGGCTGGGCAATATGTGGAATTGGCAACATTTGTGGGCTCTTGTGCTCACCTAACCCCTCCTCTCTCATCCTTCCTTCTGCCCTCCTCTTGCTTTCAGATGGTATTCACCCTGGAGCGGACGGACCACATCCCCATCCCCCAATTGTGGTGGGCGTGCACTCCCGCAATTGGGGGAATGGGGTTGGAGTGGGCCCCACCTGCCCCATTCCAACCCCTTCACAGTCCTTGTGGGCTCTTGTGCTGGCCTAACCCCTCCTCCCTCACCCCTCCGGCCATCCCCTTCCCCAGATGGAGTTCGCCCTGGAGTGGACGGACCACACGCCCATCCCGCAAGTGGGCATGCACCTGCCCCACACCAACCTCTTCAAGGACCTCGGGGGCTCCCCTCTCCCCTCTCTCCCCTCACATGCCTCTCCTCGCTCTATCCTCTCCCTCCTGTGTCCTTTCCAGATGGAGTTTGCCCTGGAGTGGACGGATCACACGCCTATTCCTAGAGTGGGCGTGCACCTGCCCTACACCAACCTCTTCAAGGACCTCGGAGGCTTGCCGTCGGACTCCAAGCTCAACCTCTCCTTCGTCCAGTCAGCCGCGCACTACCAACGAGAAACCATCTGCCACTCGCTGCCGCCAGGTAAACACCTGTTACTGCTGGCCTGGTAACCAGCCTCTTCAAAGACCTCAGGGGCTCGCCCTCTGACTCTAAGCTCAACCTCTCCTTCGTTCAGTCGGCAGACTTGTACCAAAGGGAGACCATCCGCCACTCGCTGCCAGCAGAGCAGGGCGACTGCTTCAAGGAGAAAGGCTGTACGGAGTGCCACTCCCTGCCTGCTCGCCTTATTGACCACCTGCCCCACACCAACCTCTTCGAACACTTCAGACGCTTGCCGCACGACCCCAAGCTCAACCTCTCTTTCTATCCGATCCGATCCGATCCGTGCCTCCACGTCAGCTGCCAGGGTGATCGAAGGTTTCTTTTGAGACGTCTCAAGATAAAACCCCCAGCTCCCAGCTCACTTTCTCTCCTCGCCCCTATCCATGCCACCACGTCAGCTGCCAGGGTGATCGAAGGTTTCTTCTGAGACGTCTCAAGATAAAAACCCCAGCTCCCAGCTCACTTTCTCTCCTCGCCCCTATCCATGCCACCACGTCAGCTGCCAAGGTGATAGAAGGTTTCTTCTGAGACGTCTCAAGATAAAACCCCCAGCTCCCAGCTCACTTTCTCTCCTCGCCCCTATCCATGCCACCACGTCAGCTGCCAGGGTGATCGAAGGTTTCTTCTGAGACGTCTCAAGATAAAACCCCCAGCTCCCAGCTCACTTTCTCTCCTCGCCCCTATCCATGCCACCACGTCAGCTGCCAGGGTGATAGAAGGTTTCTTCTGAGACGACTCCTATCTATCCTTATGGAATTTTGGGAGAGGGGGGGGGGGGCGGGGGGGGGTGCTCCTTCTATCCTCCCTGTGCCAGGTGAGCTCCCAGGGTGTGAGGGCGTGCAGCAGCAGCAGACGCACATCTGGCGGTATGCATGGGACATGCAGCGATGGAGGCAGCTTAGGGGGAGGCAGCTCAGGAGGAAGGGGCACAGGCATGCACACAGACCACCATTTCCTGCCCTCATCTCTCCTCTCCATCCACCCCTTTCCACCCTTTTTCTCTCAGGCGAGCTGGCAGGGTGTGAGGGCGTGCAGCAGCAGACGCACATCTGGCGCTACGCGTGGGACAGGCAGCGGTGGAGGCAGCTCAGGAGGAGGGGCGCTGGCATGCAGATCTACGAGAGGCACATTCGGGAGTTGCACTGTATTTACCGGGGTATGGCAAAACATGTGGGGGAGCGAGGGGGGGAGGGAGAGGGAGGAGTGAGGAGAGGTGGGGATGCGGAAGAGGAGGGTAGGTTGGTGGTCTCGGTGGAGGGAGAGGAGAGGGGGTTGTTAGTGGAGAGACTGCGTTCAGAGTGTATAGAGAAATGGGAGACCTGATGCTGCAAGTTGAGAAGTTGGCAATGCGGTATCTAATGATTTCAGTTGGCAAATGAAGAGGCAATTTTGGCCATACTGGTAATTTGTGTTGTGGTATACCGTAATCTCCCGGCATGATTACCCCCCCGAAAAAGGGACTCTGGGTCTTTTTTCCAGACCATGGGTCTTAATATCGTAAAGGGATTGTGAGGACCCGCTGTTTGGGGTAAATAATTTGAGGACCCCCCCCTTCAGTTTTAAATGGTTTTCATGTCAGTTTTTGCTCAATTTCAAAATGCGTCATGCACTACAAAGTCAACTTCCACATCATTAGTTAGGACGGTCCTACCGGTACCGGTACTATTGCTTCATGCCAATTGCATCCTACCTACACTACATACTGCCTTAGGCAGTCCTAGGCACTGCACATCCACGGCAGCACACCTCATGTTAGACCAACTCATCGAACCTACTGATACGGTACACATCCATCGAACTGCTACTAGCTACCACTACTGAAGGGACTCAATGTCCCAGGCTCTGTTGACGTCCACCTCGCCATGGGAACTCCAAGACTCAGTTGTTGAGGCCTCTTCGTCTGCCGCTGCTGATGCCGCTTCTGCCGCTGCTTCTGCCGATGTTGCTGCCGCTGTTGCTGCTGCCTCCTCTGCCTCTTCCTCCTCCTCCTCAGCCATCTGCCCATCCCCCTCCTCCTCGCCTCCCTCCCCCTCGTCTTCCTGCTCGGCCTCCGCGTAGAGTGGATTGATCCACTCTTCCACAGCCCCGGCAGCATGCACGTCATCGTGCACTTCGACTTGGGCAGCGTCGCGCATGTGAGCAAGGACCAGGTGGTCCTCGCTCCCGTCGGGGTTGTTGCTGATGCCGCACGTTTTGAACGCGCGGACAATGATGTCCTCGGGGACAAGGTCCTAGGAGTTCCAGATCCAGCGCAGGACCAACTCTGGCGGCGGCTTCCTCAGATTGCCTGCTCAAGTAAGCAATCAAGAGGAAGACAGAGAGGTGAGATTCCTGAATTGTGAGTTAAACAGGGCAGGCACTCCCATACCAGCAAACATGAGAGAGGCTCACCAGCGGGCGTCAGCAGGTCAATGCCTTCTGTGGCGAACCAGTCGTTGTAGAACCGCCGGACGCCCGCCTTGAAGGCGCGGTTGATGACGACGTCAAGCGGCTGCAGCAGGGGTGTGCAGCCGCCAGGGATGATTGCGGGGGTGATCTTGTGCCACCTGAAGGAGCCAAGCACGCCGTCCGTCAGGTGCCCACGGTAGGAGTCCAGGACAAGCAGTGTCTTGCTCCTCGAGACACCTGTGGGGGGGCGGATGAAGGGCAGCAACACGTGCTGCACCCAATCTTGCACGAGGCCTCCATCCATCCAGCCTCGCTCCTGGGCTCGGATGAGGAGACCTGCACAGTAATGCACGCACACTGTTAGGAATAATAAGGGGGAAACAGCTAGGGAGACAAAATAGGCTGTCATGAAGCAAAACTCACCAGGTGGTGCTTGAATATTAGGGATCGTCTTCCTTTTGAAGATGACCATGGGAGGCAGTTTCCGGCCGTCCGCTGTCACCGCCAACATCACCGTCACCCTCTCCTTCTCATACCCGGCGCTCCGAATCTGTACAGTCCGATCCCCCCAATGGTGAAGTGTGCGCTCGAAAGGCATCTCCAGGAACACTGGAGTTTGATCTGCATTGATCATGTTCCATGGGTCGATGCCGCTCTCCAGCACCTGTTTCCAGACGAAGCGCCAAAAGCTTTCGCTCTTTGGCTTGCAATCTACCAGTGGAAACAAAAAATACGCGGAAGAGTAAGGTAGGGGTGAATACGCCATGTTATTCCACTACCATACGGCATGCAGTGGGATTAAAAAACATTCTAGAACACTCGGCGCGAATGAGAGAGGTCGGCTTACCGCGGGTCAAACGCTGACCAATCTTGGTCTTGACTCGCACGGTGAGACCCCAGCGAACGCGAAACCTGAAGGTCCAATGAGGTGAGGCCCTCCAGTCCACCTCGGGATGATGAGTCTTCATGAACTGCCGGATCCAAACCTGAAGGAGGGAAATCGGGACTGCAAGGCCAAGGGAGCGGTGGCTCAGGAACTTTCTATAGACAGCCTGCTCCATGTCGGGGTGCCTCGACGGTCGCCCTGCGCCCACAAGCCTACGCCTGGAGCCCGAGGCATGCGTCATGTCCTCTTCCTTCTTCAGCCAGCGCCGAATGCTCACCGGCTCGACACCCGCTTCCCACGCCACCTGTCGAATGGTCAGCCCCTCGTCGCGCATCTTGTGCAGCCAGCCGATTTTCTCGGCCATGGTGCGCGATGTGCGGCGGTGCTTTGTCCTCCTGGCGTGAGAATCTGGTGCACATGCGTCAAGTGGACGCCGAGCCTCGGTGTCGTGACGCGGAATGTCTGGCGGGAATTGAGGGACGAGGGGATTCGTCTGCGTTGGGCACACGCTCACGGGGGGTGAGGTCCTCGTCATTTGTTGGCTCCCAAAAGCCAGCAAACGTAGGCGATGGCGCAGGAGGAGCCGGAGGAGCAGGAGGCGCTGGCGGCGCGGGAGGCGCGGGGGGAGCAGGCGGCGCAGGTGGCGCTGGAGGTGCGGGCGGTGAAGGTGCTGCTGAAAAGCTGGACGGTCTGCTGTGCGAACGGGTGTGCCTACATACGCGATTTTGCATGAGCATTTGCAGAGCCGACATGGCTGTTGCTTGGAAAAATCCCACACTTAGCGGAGAGAGAGGGGAGCGATGCCATCTCCTGGAACATCAAGCTTGCTAAAAACCCTGGTTGAAAAACAGGAAATGAGACTTGTCGCAGCGACTACCCCTCTGTGAAGACGGAAAAGAGAGGGACGTGAGGCGGAGCGAGACACGACGATGGAGGGAGTCATGCCTGCCTGACACAAGAAACCTCTCAATGGGGTGGACCGTGGGGAGACTTCGTGAACGAACCTCTCCCCTCCATGTAATGACTCTTGCTGGCAGTCAAGAAGCCCGCGCGATTCGCCAGCGCTGTAAAGTTGGCAGCCGTCGATGCTAAGAATCTGACGCGTGTCCATCTAGATGGCTCGGACAAAACGAGGCTAAGAATATACTTCCCCCGTTTGAAACAAAGGACCCCCTGTATAACCTCAATTGGAATACCAGAAAATGTGACAAACAAACACCTTACGTAATAAATAACTGCACATGGGTCTTATTAATTACCATCCTTTAAAATGTCCACCCAAACGATTTTCAATGAATTTTCCATAAGACCTAGGGTCATCATGCCGGGAGATTACGGTAACTCATACTTAGCATTTCTGTAAGTCGTTTATCGATAGATAGTGTCGAATCCTACTGTAAGAGATAAGTCCGTAGTATGATGTCAGCAAATAGCGCTCGTCATAGGACAGTCGTTTTCAGTCACTCGAACAGTCGCACCTCTTGTTAGAATGCAAGCATGATTGACTAGTGTGAGAAACCTAGAACATATACCTGTTGGGGTTGTACTCACTAGAAGCACACACCTAGGCTAGCCTATAACTTCTACATACAGCATATGTATAAGTTGACACACCCCCTAGGCTAGAGAAGGGGTGGTGCTAAGCAAGAAGCACACAGCTCAGGGTGGCACTACTAGTCCAACCATTGAGGCAGGGGTCCGGAGACCAGTCAGCAAGAGTACAAACGAGACTAAAGCAAACCAGGGCGGCACTACTAGTCCAGCCACTGGAGGCAAGGCCACAAGGCCAGTCAGACAGGTATATATATAGTAGAGAGTAAACAATCAGGGTCCTAACAAGTGAGTAGCTACAGGAACAAGACCAAGCTGCACACAGTGCCGCTGATGATCTTTAGGCGCAAGCGCCTTCGTAAAGATATCAGATGTGTTGGCACCTGAGGCCAAGTTAACTACGCGGGCCTGGCAACGCTGCTGTAGCTCGCGCAGGAGGAAGTACCGCAGCTGGATATGCTTCGCTCTGCCCTCAAGCCGAGGCTCCTGACACAGGAGAATCATGGCCCTGTTGTCAGCGTACAGGAGCGAGGCAGAGCTAGGCCGCTCAACTAAGTCTGTGAGCAAGAAGGTCAGCCAGCGAAGCTCCTGTGCAGCCATGGCACCGGCGTAGATCTCAGCCTCACAGCTGGACTGAGCAACAGACGACGAGCGAGTGGATCTTCAAGAGATAGCACCCGAACCGAGGCTAAAACAGTAGCCCTGAGACGATCTGAGAGTCTTAGAGTCGTCTGCCCAAGAAGCGTCTGTGTGCCTAGTGAGAACCACTGGACTGCGTTCTCCAAGCACTAACCCCATGCCCGATGTACTTGCTAGATATCGCAAAACCCTCTTAGCGGCAGACCAGTGCTGAGGTCGGTGTCTGCCTGTAGCCACAAAGTGAGCCAGGATGCTGAGAGGGTATGCGAGATCTGGGCGAGTGCAAGTCATCAGGTACATGAGGCAAACCACGAGCTCTGCGTAGCGGCCGCTGGGCTCTACTGGCTCGTCAGGAACGGGAGCGGAGAGCCCATGGTCTACAGGTAGAGGTGTGGGCTGTGCGGAGGAGAACTGAAGACCAAACCTCTGAAGGACCTGACGCACCAAGTGTGACTGTATAAGAGTGATGGTGCGTGCTGCTCTGTCCCTGGAGATCTGCTGGCCAAGATAGTGACGCAGCTCTCCAAGGACAGTGCAGGTGTGTCTCTTCAGCAGCTCTGCCTTCAGAGAGGCCAGTGCGTCCCTGTCAGCAGTAGCGAAGACCAGGTCGTCTACGTAGACAAGGATGTAGAATGGAGTCTGGCCGGAACGCACAAAAAGTGAGGGGTCAGCAAAGGACGGAAAGAACCACAGGTCTGCTAGCGTGGCACGCAGCGTGTCATGCTACTCACGGGGAGCCAGGCGCAGGCCGTAGACTGGGCGCCTGAGAAACCACTGGGTCCCAGGGGGGAAGGTACCAGTGAAGCCCAGTGGTCGGCGCAGGTAGACCTGCTCGTGTAGGCTACCCTGAAGAAAGGCAGTAGAGAAGTCGAGGGAGTGAAGCTCGTAGTCGCACTGTGCTGCAATGTGTAGCAGCGCCCAAAGAGTAGTCATCTTCGGGGTCGGGGCGAAGGTCTAGAAGAAGTCAACCCCCTCGCGCTGGCTGAAGCCTCTAGCCACGTAGCGCGCCTTGAAGACAGGCGGCTCTCCAGGGGGGCGCTTCACCTTGAAGAGCCACTGACCATCAATTACGTTCACCTCAGGCGGGGGAACTGCGTCGACGTAAGTGC